TACAGGAGGACTCCCCTGGGAGAAGGAAGAAATGTAGTGTGCAGCCTTTACCAAAGTCCTTTCTGTAGGAACCCCTTCACAAACCTCAGTTTGGATAATCCTGCTGTAAGAAGCAAAAGGCCATGGGAGGATTTGGAGCCATTTACAGGTATCAGATTTTCATTTAGAAATTCATTCTGGGGAGCGCCTAGGTGGCTCAGTCATTAAGTGTCTGCCTTGGGCTCAGGTCAAGATCCTGGGATTCTGGGATTGAGCCCTGCATCAGGCTCCCTGCTCCATGGGGAACCTGCTTTTCCCTCTCCCACTCCTCCTGCTTGTGTTCCCTCTCTCACTGTGTTTCTGTCAAATAAATAAAATCTTAAAAAAAAAAATTCATTCTGGGGAATGAAGAGTGCGGGAGGGATGGGAAATGAGAAACAAGGAGGCCAGTCAGAAGGAAGCCTGTTACAGCCATGCAGAGTAGAGAAGACACTCCATAAACCACACAGGAGGGGGGCGTGGAAAGGCTCTGGGGATTCAAGAAGCATGGGAAGGTAGAATCAATGGATTGAACTGCCTTTAGAGGGAGGGACACACATTGGCTCCCAGGTTTCTGGCTTTGACCATGTCTGATCACTTGTTGGGTGTTAACTCCTGGTGTTCAGGAGAGGGTCTGTGCAGGGGATATATTTGGAGTCAGGCATGACCATGTGACGGCAATGAAGTCTCAGGTGGGTGAGCTTATCAACACCAGGTTCAAAGTCCAAGAGGGAGACCAGGACTGTGGACGGAAGCAGGGGAACATCAGTGTTTAGGAATGGGCTGGAAAGAGTAATGGAGGAAGGAAAGAAACAGGAGAGCAGGTGTCCTGGGAGCCAAGGGAGGAGAGTGCTTCAAGAAGAGAGCACTTAGTACCCCCCCCACATGCAAATTACAACAGCAGAGAGCTGTATTTCCTTGTCACATCAGCAGAAATGTATTGATTCACGTGTTTAACAATAATATATGGTATTGGCAAGGGTGGAAGAAAAAGGGCACCACCCTCATATGATTTGGGTAACAGACAATATGTAGCAAAAACTTTATAAACCAAGTATTCCCTTTGATCCAAATATTCCATCTCTAGAAACTTACCCTAAGGAAATCATCATGGAGGGTGATGAACAAGATTGTTTGTAATAGCATTGCATGTAATATTAAAAATGAAATGTACTATTCAATAACACAGGACTGGTTAAATACATTAGGATAGTCAGATGATAAAAAAATCATGAAACCAGTAAAATACTACATGTGAAATAAATAATGGCATAGTGAAATATTGCAATAAATTATGAAATCAATAAAGCATGATTCTGTGGGGTTTTTTTTGTACTAAAAATATACAGATGTATATAAGAAAAAGACATACCACATATTAAGCAGTATTTCTCTCGGGTTTGGGTGATTTTTGTTCTCCGTTTTACCTCTCTATATTTTCAAAAGATTCCACAATAAGCAAGTTATTTTTTTAGTACTTTGAATAGTGTAATAATAATGTTTTAATAATAACAACTACCATTGTTATGGTAGCTACCATTTACTGACTGCTTGCCATAGGCCAGTCACTGTGCTAAGTGCTCTATCTTCAACCCTACCATCCTGACCCCATTCACAGATGAGCAATAGCCTGAGAGGTTCAGAAACTGCCCCAGGTCACAGTGCACCAGGCTGCTAGGGAAAGCCCTTGTTTGACACTACTTTCTCCAAGACCTTCCCCACCTCACTTCCCTTCCAGTTCCTGAGTTAGAGGATTCCATTCACATTCCCGCCCCCAAGTCCCAGCTCCTTGTTCTCTGTCCTTCCAGGCGCTTTGCCAGCCCTCAGGTCAGAGCACAGCCTTGGTTCTGCCTTCTGTGAAGACTATGTGCACCTGACTATCACCCCTGTTGGGGACCTGGGTCACTTGGGGGCAGGGACTGGTCGGCTTCATCTCCAGCTCAGGGCAAGGATCGAGCGGCCCATGGTGTTTGCTGTTGAACTGAGTTGTGGGGTGCCATCCTTTGGAATGGCTAAAACCTGATGTTTAGTTTTACAAGAATGGGAGGCCCATTGTTGGAAGAACGCAGCTATCTCTGCTCACCCTAAGTTGAGCTAAATGATTTCTGCTCTGAAGAATCAGACCCACACTGAGCTGGCTTACAGTCTAGCTGGAAGCCCAGTGTCGCACAATAGGCTCCAGATGATGTGGTGCGGACTCCAAGTGGAGTACAGAGGGCTGCCCAGAGAAGGACAGTGAAGAGGGCAGGAGATTCAGAGGCTGTGAACAAGCCTGACACGGGGATGCCCCCTTGACTCTGCCCCCGCCTCTGCATGCAGTCACCAAGCCCTGGGGATGCAGCCTCCCCAACTGCTTTCTCCTCCTCCCTCCCCCCATCACCAAAAAGGATCATGGTCATGTCCACACACCCTCATTACTGTACCTGCCTCCAGCTGGGGGCCCTGACTCTAACCTTTGTCCCTCTGATCCATGGTCACCCCTGCAGCAGACTCTGTCTTAGGCACATTCAGTGGCTGAGCTGCAACATCGTTTTTTTTTTTTTTTCTTTCCCTTTTTAACATATAATGTATTATTTGTTTCAGGGGTACAGGTCTGTGATACATCAGTCTTACACAATTCACAGCTCTCACCACAACACATACCCTCCTCCATGTCCAAGACCCAGCCAGCCCCCTCTCCAGCAACCTTCAGTTTGTTTCCTGAGATTGAGACTCTCTCATGGTTTGTCTCCCTCTCTAATTTTGTCTTGTTTCACTTTTCCCTCCCTTACCTTGTGATCCTCTGTCTTGTTTCTCAAATTCCTCATATCAGTGAGATCATATACTTGTCTTTCTCTGATTGACTTATTTTGCTTACAAGCTGCAACATCCTTAAGAGGCTTATAAGCAGTGTGGAAATTCGCCCATTGGATAAAAGGCAGACTAAGCATGGGCTTAAGGCACCAACAAATGATTGTTTGCTTAATTAATTAATTTATGTACAGTAGGCTCCATACGCAATGTGGAGCTTGAACTCACAACTCCAGATCAAGAGTCCCACATTCTACCGACAGAGCCAGCCAGGCATCCCAGTTCTGATACTTCCTAAAAGTTTGAAGTGATCAAGGGAAATTCTTAATTTTGGTGGACTTCTTAATTTATTTTGAAGTTTAATATTGAAACTACATTGGGGCCGCATAACCATCTATTGTCCAGTTCCCTCATCTAGTCTCCCTGGAAGGTCCTTTGGGTCCATCCTTTCACCAGCCTCTCAGCCTCAGCCTCACCTGGGCCATTTGCCCCCCAGGCTCTCCAGGTTTCACTGAACAGCTCGCCTGCCCAAGCCCAGCTCCACTGTTGTGTGAAAGGGGAAGTCCCTTAACTTCTGCGTGCATTAGTTTTCTTGTTTGTTAAAAGAGGGGGTTGAAATGGCGTCTACCCTCTTTGTGCGAGCCTTAAAGCAATAATGCAGAGCACGCATAGCACACGGTAAGTGCGGAGTGGTGCCTGCATTATGCTCCCTGGCATCGCACACCAGCAGTTTCCTCTGCCCATTGACCTTTCCTCTCATCCCAGGCCCGTTCCTCCCAGCCTTTCGAGCTCAGTCTAGGTGTCACTTCCTCCCAGTGCAGCGTCTTAGCCAAAAATGAATAAATGCAGCGAGAGAGCGTCCAGGAAGAGCAGAGTGTGCAGGAGGGGTCTGAGTCAATGGAGGGGTTTCCGTGTAGAGCCTTCTCTTGCAAGCCCTTGGGGGCCCTGACAATTAAGATGCGCAAAGGGAGCTTCCCGGACGCTCCGGAAGGGCCCCAGAGCTCCCTGGCCCAGCTGGAGACCGGTGTGCATCTCCCTTGCGCGGCTGGATCAGCTTGGGGGCTGCAGGGCGCAGATCGAGAGCCGGAGGTGACGATGCGGTTGAGGGATCATCGGGGAGCGTGGGGAGCCCGCCTGGGGCGCGGGCCAGGAGCTCGCTGGAGCCTAGATGGAAGCCCCGGAGCAAGAAACCGAGCAGTAGTCAGGGAAGGAGAAGCCGCCAACAGCGCGCGCAAGCGGACAGCTGGAGAGGCTCGGGGTGGCCAGCGAGGAACTGCGGAGGCGGCGGCTGGCAGAGGAACGCGTCCCACTCTCCCGCCGCAACTGGCACCAGCGGGGTCCCTCTACCTCTAGACCCCATTGAGGCCTTTCAGGTCCTGGAGCAATCCTCTGCGCACCAGGCGAGGCTGCCGGGTCAGTACGCTGGCGGAACCGCGCTCGAGGGCACGTCCCGCGGGAGCGCAAGTCCCGGATTTCCCCGTACGGGGCCGCTATCCTGGGAACCCCAGGACAAGGCCCCGCGCTCGCCCGACGGCGCCCCCAGCGGCTGGGAGAGGAGCCCAGCAGAGTCGCGAAGACCCGACGGCTGGACAGGGGACCCCTCACCCGACCCGTCCAGCACCAACGACGGCTCACATCTCGGGGAAGCCAGCACCCGCGACACTAACAGAGATCCACAGCCCCTTACCGGGCGTTGGCTCCACGGCTTTGGCCCCGCCCCGCGCCGCCATTGGTCGGGGCGGGAGGGGCGGGGCCTGACGGCGGCCCGCGGTCCCCACAGGCGGCGGAGGCGGGGCGCGCGGCGCAGACGACCGGTCCCACTAAAGAGGTGTCCGCGGGTCCGCGCCGCCCTCAGGGCCAACGGGAGCTCGCCCGTCGCCCCTGCCTCGGAAGAGGCCTCGGCAGTAGCCGACCGACCGACCGCACAGCGGCCACAGACAGATTGGCCGCCAGTCCCCAGTCCCCGGCCCCCGGAGGAGCGCCTACGGCGAGGCGGCGGAGGCCTCGTCGACGCCGCCGGGAGCCCAGCAGGTGCGGCGCGGGAGGCGGTCTGAGGTAGCGCCGCGGCCGCCGGCGACCCCGACGGGAGGCGCCGACCCCGAGCCTCGCCCGCCGCTCGCCGTCGGGGCGGCCCCGGCCCTCGCTCGGCCGCGGAGCGGATGCGCACCCGCTAAGCGCCCGCCCGGCCCGCCATGGCCGCGCGTCCCGGGCCGCTGTGGCTCGTGGGTCTGGCGCTGTGCGCGCTGAGCGGCGGTGGCCCCGGCCCGCGTCCCCCCGCCGGCTGCCCCGTCCGCCGCCTGGGCCCGCGCGAGCGCCGCGACATGCAGCGCGAGATCCTGGCTGTGCTGGGGCTGCCCGGGCGGCCCCGGCCCCGCGCGCCGCCCGCCGCCGCCCGGCTGCCCGCGTCGGCGCCGCTCTTCATGCTGGACCTGTACCACGCCATGGCCGACGACGACGACGAGGACGGCGGCCCCCCGGAGTGGCCCCCGGGCCGCGCCGACCTGGTGATGAGCTTCGTCAACATGGGTGAGTGCGGCCGCCGGCTGGGCGTCTGGGGCCCAGATGACTGTTCGGCCTCCGCGTGGACGCGCGGGTGCGGACGGGGCGGGAGACCCCTCGCGGGCAGCGCGGCAGGGGCGAGTGCGCCGCCTTGGCCAGTGCGCGCCCCCGCCTCGAACAGGTGCCCCTGGTTGTGGCCACGCCCCCAAGGAGGGGTGAGAAATGCGGAGCTCAGGGCCAAGTCCAAGGCGGGTGGGGGCGCGAATGTGAGTCCCAGGGATGTGCGCGTTCGTCCCGCCCCGGAACACACCCGGGAATCATCTCCTGTCGGGTGGACGGGACAGTGCCAGGAAGACAGTTTGGTTCCGGGGAGACAGATGAGTAAACAGGCTGGGATGCTGTCACAGTGATAAGGGCAGTACCGGAGAGAAGGACAAAGTTCAGTGTGGAAAGCCCCGGTCACATCATCAAAGTGACCGAAGCTGAGAACCCAGATGTCCTGAGTGCACAGCTGCCTGTTCCCTGGCCAGAGCCCCAGCTCCTGCAGGTGAGGGTGTGGCTGCCAGGGCAGCAGGCGGGAAGGAGTAGACTCTGAGCTCAGTGAGGCAGTCAGTGGTCTTGTCACCCTGGGCCTAGCACCTGGGACATGGCTGGCATGCAGTGTGTGTCCAGGCCTGTGGAAGGACCTAGTAGGCCCCTTGGACCCTCCTCGTCCTTCCACACAAAGCCCAGCCTTTCCTTTCTACAGTAATTTTTCTCCAAGTCGTGGACCCATTTGTGGTTAGAGTACTCAAAGATGTCTCCCCATTACTAAATGCTCTTTAATCTGCAGTCGTGAATGTCCCCTATCTGCTTTGCTTCCTGTCTGTGGCCAGTGAGGACCAGGGTTCTGGGCTGGAGCAGACACCAGACTGGATGTGGGATTGAAGGACTGCAGCTCAGGCTGAGGTGGAGACAGAACCCTTGCCAAGACCACCAGCATCCCTTCACGTACAGCATCATGCTTAGCCCTCCCCACAACCCCGGGAACAGACATGATATTCTTCCCCATCTCCCAGATGAGGACAGTGAGGCTCAGAGAGGCAATGTCATGCCCAGGACAGCACAGCCTCTCTGTGGCCCAGTCAGGACAGGCCCCGGTTGTTTGGCCCTACATCGGGTCCTCAAGGAGATGATATTTCTACTGTCAGGAAGGCAGGCTTTCAAGGTGGAGAGAGCTTCCAGAGGGGTTTAGGCAGAGAAACCCAGGGGATGGAGCAGCAGCAGCAGGTTTTGTGGGGTTTTCAGCCGTTTGCTTCCTCTATAAGGGCAGGCAGAATGGACAGCCAAGGAGACCTCTGTCCACCACACCCAGAGCTGGTGGGTGGGCTGAGGTGGGGAGTGAGCAGCAGGAAGTGGCTGTTAACCTCTGCTGAGAGCCTGGTGCCAGGCATAGGACTGAGTCAATGGGTTCTGAATGCCACCTTCTTGGTTAAGGGCAGGGTGGGG